AGCCCGTAGCAACTCGCCGCTGCACCCTTCTTTCCAGGTGCTCGTTTTCAGTATCTTCAATTTTATTTGTTACCACCTGAAGCAGACGAGAGATCATCTCTGCCTTGTGCAGTGCAGTAAACGCCCATGTTGGGGCCAGTCGAGAAAATCCATCTGACTCTTTCTGGTCTGGTGCTTTGCTGAAAAACAAATCGTCCCGTTTAACCAGTATCATCGATGGAGGAGCTTTATGTTATAGTTGTGACTATGTTTTGTGCTCCACATAAAAGGGATCAGCCTCGCACACCACCAAGAGACATGAAAAGGACTCCTGCAAGGTTGATTGGATCACAAGAGATGGATCTAAATACTGTCCCAAGCAGCGACGAAGTCGTCTACCTGCCAGCAAATGGTGATCCTGGTAGCCGTTAAAGTGATCTGCATGCTCCTTCCCAATCACGCTTTAATAGCTCTGACAAAATATCCACGTGACTGTCACAAACTGCGACCTCTGGACTTATGTGACCCATTCCAAACGAAGAAAACCTGACCACTTTCCTGATCATGCTTTGTGAATCTAATACATGTGTGGGCGAGATATTTAATACTTATCTGAACGCCGCAGTTGCTGTCTCAATCTCCATGATCATTATTCTAGCTGAAAATCCCCAGCCAGATCTTACACCCCGATGAACAGAACAATCGATGTACACTACAGCATCATCTAGCAAGGCCTTTCCATAAATCAGTTGTCAAATCCCACAGCAAAGATGAACTAAATGTAGAAAGAGCACACTGAGTTTTTAAGTTACGCCGATTTCGAAATCTCTTACACGTCCCTCCTTGCCGAGTCCAACTTAATTCCTACAAGTTCAACACATTCCTGATCATGTTGTTTCATCTAATCTCGTGTCTTCTGCCAAAAGTCTTCATATATGGTTCAGAATATCTAAAGACCTCAATGGAGTGTTCCTGTAGCTTTCGCCATTATAGCCAGAAAATCCCCTCTTTCATTCCATCGAACTCATCTGCATACACCCATTGAGAGTATATGAAAATGAGATTCGCTGCAATGTTAGCTTACTGATGCATGGTATTCCTGTCATACCATTAGTCGATTTTGAACCTTTCGCAATGCCAACTTGATAATCAGACCCCTTCTGGTAAAACTTCTGTCAGAGCTGTGTTCGTCTCGATCCATTCCTGTCCCCTGTGTATTTGCTTAATTAACTGAAGCCGCCGTCTCGATGGTATCTTCAGCTGGTGCTATCCATGATTTTCTCTTTTCAACCGGTCTTCTCTTAAATCGTTTACATTACCATGCAGCGGATGCCTTTCATCATTCGTAACTCGCATATAGGCATTGGCGTGTGCCAGTGACAGTCTAGATTTTTAAAGATGTCAGTTCAAGCTTAAACCTCATTGTTCCATTGCCTCGTGTGCAAACCAAGACGATTCTCATTCCTTCATTTTTAATCCTTTCAAGCTTTGTACACTGTGAAGTAGATAAGCCTAATATTCCTAGACCCTAATCGATTACAGAAAGGACCAAATGGTTGAACAATAAGACCAATAATCTCTGTTCCATGTGTGACGCCAACATTGACTTCAGTTCCGCCAGGCCACGCTTTCATTTGATCACAGTTTGCTCCATTTGATATCTGTAGGACAGACTGCGATCCAACGTCAAACCTAATTATTTCAGCTTATCTCTTCTTTCAACATTAATACCCTTCATGGATATGCTGGGCAAGTCCAGAATGCCATGCTGTTGCAGGAAGGCAATGCTGCTTTCTTTGTCTTGTACAGATGCAACTAGCTGTAGAAAATTCATCGTGACTGCTGCTGGAAACAATGGCAACTGACTGACGCTGTAGAGAAACCGCGAGAAACCACAACCTGAACACCCTAGAATTTATTGGGAATGTCTCCTGTGACGTCATTGTGACGTCAGGGGTACGCAAAAAATATTGTAAAAAATATTCAACTCAAGTCAAAAGCATCTAGAAAAACATCTACCATAAGAAAAAAATATTTGACTCCAAATGAAAAGCATCTACCATTTAAACGTCAAAAAGACATCTAAATAAAAGGAAAAACATATGAAAAGATCTAGAAAAGCATCTACCATTTAAACGTCAAAAAGACATCTAAATAAAAGGGAAAAAAAGGAAAAACATATGAAAAGCATCTAGAAAAGCATCTACCATTTAAACGTCAAAAAAGACATCTAAATGGAAGGAAAAACATATGAAAAGCATCTAGAAATGCATCTACCATTTAAACGTCGAAAAGACATATAAATGGAAGGAAAAACATATGAAAAGAATCTAGAAAAGCATCTACCATTTAAACGTCAAAAAGACATTTAAATGGAAGGAAAAACATATGAAAAGCATCTAGAAATGCATCTACCATTTAAACGTCAAAAAGACATTTAAATGGAAGGAAAAACATCTAAATGTGGATGTAAAATATCCGAAGTGGCAACACTGAACGTCATAGTAAAGCGCGCGCTAAAGCGCGCGCTTTGCTAGAGCGCGCTTTTGCGATGTGAACAACTTGGATGTAGAGAAACCGCGAGAAACCACAACCTGAACACCCTAGAATTTATTGGGAATGTCTCCTGTGACGTCATTGTGACGTCAGGGGTACGCAAAAAATATTGTACCGTCTTCTTTCCCAATGCTATTATTCAAAGAGCACCACAAAACACTGGCCTTCTCTGGGTTTACCCTTGACCCTGTCTGTTCACACCGCTCCGTCATCTCATGCAAAGCACTTTGCAAGTCTCTCGTCATGCCATGCCTGTCTGACCCGCTTTGATACATTAGGACATCATGGGACAGAAGAGACGGTCGGGTGGTTAGAACATTGGTTTCTCATGCGAGAGTCCTGCATTCGAATCCTCGGTTAGATGACTGCCGTTTGTTTTATGTCGAGGACAAAAATAAACATTTCTTTTTAACCGCACTAAATTTTCAGGTCCAACCCCTCTTTTCATTCACAAGGCTGCTGAAGTTGGTACGTTCGTACACATTTAGTTCTATTTGACTCTTGCTGGGCAAAATTTTACCTTTGACACCACGCCTGATATTTTGTTACTTAAAAAGATTTTGCATCAATAATTGTAATGTGGCATTGTACGCTGGCTTCAGTAAGTGTTACGGAAAGAAAATCAATTATGCCATTTTGTCGAGAAATTGGGTAGGTAGTAGTAGTAGTAGTAGCAGTAGTAGTAGTAGTAGTAGTAGTAGTAGTAGTAGTAGTAGTAGTAGTAGTCTAAACCACAATATCCTGTTCAACCCATACGGGTTATAACTGATATATATATAGAATTTATTTCTATTTTATTAATGTATATTTATGTCTAAAAGTCATGTTTGCTCATGCAATATCACATATGTATTAAAAGTATAAGATTGTAGAAGTATAGGTATATATATATTTTAAATGTACTTTCAAACAGTTATAGTAATTATACTGTATAGTCTATCTTTGCAGATATTTAATGTGATCTGGCATACTATTATTCTCTCTCATGATATATTAACACCTCACATGCGTAATGTAATTTATAAACCTTCCCTGCAGTTCTCTAGAACAATCTCTACTCCCAGCATATTTTCAGTTGTCATTTGCTTATTGCAGAGGATAATTTATTTATTAAAGGGAGTTTTTTTTGGAGTTCAAAATTCGTGCAGTAGAGCTAATAATGTTAATTATGAACATTATGAGCAAATAAAGAATGAATGGGGGAATTTAGTATTTATGTATGTAAGTTGTACCCCACCAGGACATCACACACAGCGATAAACACCCGGTGACACAACCGTCTCACTCGTGGAGAGGTCTCAGAAACCCCGTTCAGCCGTTAGGCCATATTTATGGTCCGGCTATATTTAGGGCCCCCGGAAAAAGCCAAGAAGGTCAGGGATAGCAAGAACGAGTTGAACTATTTTCCCCAGGAGAGGCAGTTCCATTGACCTTGTTTTGTGAAAAATAAAAAATCGTCACGTTCAACCAGCAACCTCGAAGGGGGGATCTTCTAGTTATAACTGTGACTAGGATGGGACCTCAATTATTAGTGCAACGTTAGTTATATGCGTATCCTTTGTAGGACGTCGCAGAGCCAACCCCAACAGCCCCTGGCTGTTGTGTGCTTTTTCTAGGCAAATTTACGTATAGTAGTTTGTCATTGCTTTATGGACGGTCGGCTTTCTTGATACCACTGTCGAAACCAACGCAAGGCGCATGGCTCGCAGTTGGGATCGAACCCGGCATCCCGGCATTACGAAGCGTTCGCATCGACTTAGCCACAGAGCCGACCTATTAGTGCAAGATCAACCAAATATGCTGAAACAAACACCAGATAATTTTTGGTATACAATTTCACAAGAAAGATGTGGAGATGAAAATTGCTTCCCATTTGTGTCAGTATGTATGCTCCGTCTTTTGGGATTACCTAATTCTTCTGCCGCTGCAGAAAGAGTTTTATCTCTGCTTAACAATACTAAGAAAACAATCGTTTTTCTTAAAAGACTTCAACAGCAAGAGAATTGATGAGATCAGTTCATTAATTTCACCCACTCGAGTTAGCCACAGCAGCTTTGTAACAAATTGAGCGGAAACAAATAGACAATAATGATGTAATGGACAGATTATTTCAAATCCTGATAAATGTTTGGCATATACAAACGTGTGTTCTACACCCTCCTTAAAAAGAGACCAGTAAAGACCGTTGTCTGTCTTCATGGACAAAGGCAGAAAGTTTACTTCCTTCTCTTCTATAAGCCCTTACTAATGTCTGTGACTTTAATTCTTGTATTATTTAAAAAACTCCAGGAGTTTTAAAGAATTGTTAAGCACCCATGAAATGTTCCGAAACGATGCGAAGTCATTTCTGGAGAAAGATAAACAATTATGTTTTCATCGTGGACTGCTAGAACTGACACTCAACTAAAAGGTGTAGATGAACACAACTCTTCCGTATTTTGGTTGCGGGAGATTTGTTGCCTAGAATGGAATTGTTTCAGACGGACTTACATTACATATTGTTGGACGGAGAACACAGTCTCTGGTGTAGCAGAACCACTGGAAAACTCGAGCCAAAGAAAGGTGAACAATTACTGTTCTTTTAGTTTACATGATCATTTGGTTATTGTGCAGAGTTACTACGGTACCTTAACCCAGGAATAGCCAGCTTCACTGAAAAAGCAAGTTTTCATCGAAAATATACATTCTCAGGAATTTCTAATTATATAATATAATGTATGCTACATTAGCATGTACTGATCTTAAAATAGTAAATAAATTTAAATGGATTGTCTTCATTCCATACCTGGGTAGTGATTGATGATTTACGTTTAACGTTTACTCAGTAAGGCAGACTAGTAATATAAGTAAGTAAGTAGCAGAGTATTATAATTACATATTATAATGTAATTTCTACCTATCTTGTTTGGATTCAAACTACTAAATAATAGATAAATGTTAAGTAAATGAATAGAAGCACAGGTTCTCCTTTAAATAACGGTCGCTAGCTGGAAGGCGGCGGCCACTTAATCGGAGTTCACTCCCTTGGCTGCAGTGCAAATACGGAGCGGACAAGTCACGAATCAAAAAACAACGTGAGGTCGACATGCCTGCTAGAGCTAGACGACATGTTGGGACTCACACTAGCGACCGCGTTCTTCCGACGCACGACTTAGTGACCATATATGTGAGACCTGCGGATCTGTATGTCATAATGAGTGATAAGCTTCCATCCTTTCCGTGATGTGTCACCCTAACCCTAACCCTACCCCAAACCCTAAACCAAACCCTAACCCTACCCCAAATCCTAACCCAAACCCTAAGCCTAACCCTAGTATGACAGGTAACTATATCATTTGTTTCGTTCCCTCCGTATTTGCACTGCAGCCAAGGGAGTGAACTCCGACTAAGCGACCGTCGCCTTCCAGCTAGCGACCGTTATTTAAAGGAGAGCAGAAGCACATTATAATAGGTGGTTCAAGAGACAGATTAAAACCCCAAAAGGTGAAATGTGCAGGGTTCTCCTGTGTTGTAGATCAGTGGTCTTCAAGTTAACCCATGGGCCGCAGTCCACTAGTAGATTAGACCACTAAAAAGTCAAGGTTGGCCGCCAAAATTGTTTAATGATGTAACATTTTAGGATAGGTAGTTTTTCTCTTCTGGAATTGCAGCCTGTAGGATTAACACCTGAAGGATGAGAATCGAACAGGTACAAATCCCAGAAACTCAGTCGACCGCCTGAAACAATTATGTTAGGGCATCCAACTGTTATGTAACCTGTAGTCCAGTCTGGTCTATGAAAATGTTGATCCTTATAAAGGCAACCTTTGAATTAATAATCCCTTCTAGGAAAATGTAAGCTCATGCACACTTTATCAACATGAAAAAGAAAAGTTGATCAAGTTATCCATTTTACACAAGTAAAAAAAAAAAGAACAAAATCACAGTTCTGTGTATTTACCAAAACAATATTACATTCTATTCCAAATACTTGGAGACATCAATAAACATGACAGCAGCAGAGATTTTACTAGGTCCCATCTCTGTGAGTCTAAAAATAAATTTTTGCAGTAACAGTTATTTGACCAGTAGACCCAGTTTGAAGGTTAACACTGTGACCAATGGGAAAATTATGACATCATAATTTCTGTGAAAAAAATGTAGAAATCTTGAAAATGTTTTGTAATATTTGTGCATCGCTGTTTACATTAACAGGTAATGACTTAGCTAATGCATGGAACCCAGTGTGTGTTGGCCAGGTCTATGGAGTTATAGGAAAGGTCAAATTACACCCAGGTAAACATCCTTTCTCAAATTTCAGTTTTGTGAAATGTACAATGCATCAGGTATTCTGAATAAGCTGCCAGAGAAATCAGTTTTTCTGTTGTATTTCAGTTTTTTTTTTCTTTCTGTGATTCCCTTCTGGGACTGCCGCCTGAAGATTTGACACTCTGACCCATGTAGCCACTTTCTGGATGGAAGTCTCACAGGAACAAATCCCATTACCCTGTTCAACCTTTTCTTCTTCTTTGCATTCGCCAGCTGTAAACTCTGGTGGAAAGTTCTGGTTGTTCATCCATTTCTAAACTTTAGTCTTGTTGCAGAACTATTGTTTCCTTGCCTCTCAAACTGATAGTCTGACTTCGAAGGAAACTGAGTAATTGGTCGACTGTTATGATTTGAGTGGGGGGGGGGGGGGGTTGTGGGTCTCTCCCCCCCCCCCCCCCCCCCCCCACAAAATGGGGCACTAGAACCTACACAAGGAGTTCAGTTATATTAAACTGTTATATTGGGGCACTCTATTGCTAAACAAGGCACCTGCTGTCCTGTTTGAGTAGGGAATCATTTCACATATTGAAAATTGTATTTGTCACTGTATACACTTTTCAATTTAAACTGGACATTTTTTAAACCAGACTATGAATGTGAAATGAGAGTGGTCAGATAGATAACAGGCATTCTTCCACTTTGCCATTTCAGGTCATTGCATACCTGGATGTTTGATAATTCATAGGTTTCCTGTTCGTCAGATTCAGCCAGGGATGATCACCCACATTTATGGCAGAAGTCATACATGAGGTCCCAGACCAACAGTGTGCTATCTGTTGCTTGAGATGTGGAGCAGGGTATCTATTTAGTGAAGTCACAACAGCACACCATGTTGGCAGACACAACTGCACACATATATGCTTTAGTTAAGCATGGGAACCATATACATATTGACACCTTTCTAGACAGTAGTGCTATATATATATATACTCTAAAGAGATGTTATGGAATGAAACAAATTATAATAAAACAAAGTTGTAAGAATAATATATATTAACAGGTAGAGACCATTAACCCTACCAGACCTGAGGCCCTGAACCTAAGTGTCCCCTATACCTGAGCTCCTGGTCATTAATGTGAAAAAAACCCAGCATGAAATACAAAAATATATGTTACATGCAAACAAGTGGCTAAAATAAGATGAAACTTGGAGACATTGTAGAAAATAGGCTTATCTTTTATCTAGCGCCAATATTCCACCTTTTTGTGTCAATCCACTCAGGAGGATCAAGATTGTTTCACAAAGTGAGCACCAGATGTTGCTGTTTGACTGATCCCCCCCTCTGTCTTACTTACTATCGATCTATTTCTAGATTTATAATTTTCAAGATTCTCCTCATTATTCAAGCTGACTGTGTCACTTTAGTTGTAAACATATTCTTCATGAATAAACAAAGTATTGATTACCTGTTGGACTGAAAAGCCCAGACCTACTTCACTGTCCTGTCGAAGTGTTTGGTTCATCAGCCGCTTGTTTCATTGTGAATTTTCAGAATGAGTTTACGTAAAACAACACAAATTTAATCCAAACATATGTGGGCGGTCATCTAGGAAGACTATCCACGAGATCTGATAACGATTCGCTAGTTATTTTTAGTCTGTGATGCATCTTTTTCACGTACTACGCAAATTGCCGAAAATTAGGGACAGCGGTATGGAGCCAGGTTAAGAATTTCCTGAAAAATCGGGTCAGCGGTCTGGTAAGGTTAATCAAGTGCATGTTTCTCTGTCTGAGCCCAGTCATTACATAGAATGCATATTTTGAAGACAAAATAAAACAGAATCATAGTAGCCACTAAACACGCATGCACATGCAGGCACACACATACACAAAATTCTAGAAAAAACTTCTCTTATATGAGTAACATCAGCATCATGTTGCATAAAAGAATATTCATTTCTGTGCCCCTAGACAGCTCTGAAACAGTCATAATCATCGTCATCCTGCTAGGCCAATTTATGTCACATGGGACTCACAGTGTGGTCTTCCATTCTGTTCTATTGTGTTTAATCCTAAAGTTAAATTCAATATCATGGATGGAATCCGGTTCAGCTTCTTTGGCTGTCTCATCAGCCTCCGCTTTAGGGTTTCTCTTAGACATCCTCGTTTCCCTTCAGTCCACTTCTTTCCTATTTCTTTGTTTGGCGATACTGCAGTTACAACATTGCGTTTATATTAGTCCAATTCATGATGCAGGTTCCTTAGCTAGTGCTATGGAATTTTAAGCTTTGGGTGGTGCTATCTGTGTGTGACCTGCGGCTCTGCAGAGAATGGGATAAAACCTGGTCTGAAACAGAATAAGAAAAAAGACAGAAAGAATTTACAGACTTTTGAATTAGAGATTTATTTAAAGCTGAAGAAAGTGTTTGAGAACACAGAATAATGGACTGATATGATCAGCTGACTTCAGCACTGGTCTTTGGACTGACTAACTTTATGATGATAATGTTACTTCTGCATACGCAAATTAAAGTGCCCTGGAAAACATAATCCTCTAGCAGATTTCTCTGTGCTAGTATGAAGCTATACAATATTGTGAAATGAGATGGCAGCTTTGTTCTTTGCCTAGAACAGTTTGTGATAGCTATTTTGTGAGTCTAGAGTATATTTAGTACATAGTAGAAATAAAACAGCTAGAGATAGAACACTGATATCTGCTGGCACATCGCTGCACTCCACTATACCACCACTGCTCTTAGTTTAAAAAAATGAAAATATTCTTATTAACCATTAACTCTCAGATTGTTAAAGCTTGCTACTTGCTTGTCTTTAAGGCTGAATGCTAACTCCCCACCTCCACCCCCCATTTTCCCTTATAAACGATCCCCTTCCTGGTATTACATTTTCCAAAAGTTTGCTGTCTAGCCTTCACCAAACTACAGATGGAAAACAATAAACTTTTCAAGCTACATAATTATTAAACTACAACTTTGTCCCTGCACACACGGACATTTACTTTTTAAAAATTTTTTGCAGATTCTGAATGGCGACTATTGCTGATCAAACAGAGGTCCCTGGCCTGTAAACTAGCAGGTCAACATATTTACAAGATCAGCAAAATTGCTGTCCTACCTCTGAATTCTACAGATGTTGCTAGTGATCTTGATCTTGAGGTAAAGTGGAGGGAAGCTGAATGGTTTGACAACACTGTACTGGTGCAGCTGAGAGGTTGGGAGTGTGGTATGCTGAGGCATATAGTTGAAAGTCGTAATTTTGACCAGCATGTCTAAGGGCATTCATGATGTTGCTTCTGTCCATTAGTTCTCTTCTGCCTTTCTATCCCCCAATGGAGCATAGGCCCTCAACCAACTCACGCCAAGTCATTCTCTCCTTCGCCATTACATGATGCTCTCCCCATGTCCCCCCCATCTTTCTAACTTTATTCTTACCTCCCTTCTCCATGTGTTTTGGCCTTCCTTTATTCCTATGCCTTTGTGGGTTCCAATGAAAAGACATTCTAGTTATGCTGTTCTCATGTTTTCTCAGTGTCTGAGCTATCCAACGCCAACGTCTTTTCCTTACCTATTGGTCCACTGGAGCCTGTTTAGTTCTCCCCCAAAGCTCTACATTAGTTATTCTATCATACCATTTAATTCCCTCTATTCTGCGCAGGCACCAGTTAATGAATGTCTGTTAATTATTAGTAATTGCCTTAGTTGTTCTCCAAGTTTCTGCCCCATACAAAAGTACTGATTTGACATTAGAATAAAAAGTTTTTAGTTTAGTATTTCTTTTAATTTCTTTTGACCTCCACAAATTCCCTAGTACTATGAAAGTTCCTTTTGCCTTTTGTATTCTTATTTTAATATCTCTATCAGTTCCTCCATCTTTATCTACTTTACTGCTCAAATAGGTGTACGACCATGTCTTGGAGTGGGGTGCCATTAAGAGAAACCACATTACTATTTGCCTGATTTATTCTCATTATCTTTGTCTTTTCTTTATGGATTTTCAGACCAAGCTGCTGTTGATCTTGCATCAAGTATATTTAATTTGTCTTGCATCTGATTCCGTGAATGGGACAGAAGAGAAATATCATCAGCGAAGTCCAGATCATCAAGCTGTTTTGTAGGGGTCCACTGAATTCCATTCTTGGTGTTAGCAGTTACTGTTTTCATAATCCAGTCTATAGGCAGTAAAAATAAGAGAGGCGACAAGACATCCCTGTCGCACACCTGTTTTTATTTCAAATGTATCTGTTAGCTTTTCCTCATGAAGAGAACTCAAAATTTCATGTCTTTATATGTTGCCTTTACTAAGTTAATAATTTTCTGTGGGATTCCATAGTGGCCCATCAATTTCCACAGAGATTCATTAGTTGATCTTCTTATATAGTAGCAGTGCCAGTCAGCTGATCCACTTTTGCATTGTCTACATACCAATATGTGCCGATTTGACAGAAATAAAATGTTTTTAAGAATTGAGGACCTAAGTAATTATTCAGTCTGATGCCAGTTTGCAAAGTTTGCTGTAACTTTCTGAAAAAATGTTTAGTTAATCGTTTACGGTAGGATGCAAGCACATGTATAGTTTTTTGACTGAAGTTGAAAAAAAAAAAAAGGTACTTGGGTGCCCAGATAGCATCACATGGAAGATATATTAAAGATGTTAAATCTAGAATAGCTTAAACAAAGGCAGCATTTTACAAAATGAAGAATATTCTATGCACTCTTTCTTTGTCGGTTGAGAAAGAGAATTCTCAAGAGCTATGTAAATTATGTCCTGATATTTGGAAGTGAATCATGGAAAGCTGGCTGATTAGTGAAACATTGTTTGGAAATGGCAGAGATGTGGTTTTATAGATGAATGATGAGAATACACTGGAAAAAAAAAACACAGACTTATGAGAAGAACTAATTGCCCACATCAGAAAGAGATAGTCTACATCTGGAAAGTTGGAGGGCAAAATAGGCAGAGGGAGACAGGGAGAGAAGATGCTGAGCAGTTTGATATCATGGCATGAAAGATCATCTGTGTCAGAATTGATTAAAAGTACATGAGAAAGAATGAAAGGTGGTGGATATACATGACTGTCAACATTACATGGTGTGGACTATAAGAAGAAGAGAAATATGTCAGTTATTACTGTCAGCACTTTTTGAGTGTAATACTGCGTGTAAGTAAAGTGAAGGGCCCTCCCTGATAGACCAGTGGTTTGTCTGGCATATGATGCTAGACTTATGTTTTTGTAGGCCAGCTGGCATTAGGTTGGCATGTAGTCAACATTGTTTTTGTCATCTTTACTTCCCTGGGCATTACTTTGTACATTTAGGCTGTGTTGACCTGGGAGCCAAGGTCAGTTATGAAAAATCTGACTTGATGCAGAATTGAACCCATGATCTTCGGTCTGACTGGCAAGCATCTTAACACTACGTGACCATGGCTCCACATACTGGATGTGGTTGTCCCCGTGTGGGTTCCGGGGCCCCATTGTGGGGAAAACAAGAATAGACCCACTGCCTCCCCAAAAGCACGTTGTAAGAGTCGACTAATTGGGGAGCTTCCTTTGAAGTCGGAGTGCATCTGCCGGAGAGGCAAGGAACCAACAGTCTGTATTCAAGAGAATGAGATCTGTAAAACTGATGCACACGCAACACTCAGGTTCTGGAGCAGGACTGCAGTTCAGTAGTGGACGAGCAACCAGAACCTTCCACCAGAGTTTACAGCTGGTGAACACGAAGAAGAAGAAGAAGGATGTGGTTGTAACTGCTGGTTTCTTTAGCATCAAGCATGCCTGCTGGAAAAGCCCATGCAGTGATTTGATACTGATCAACTTACCTATCTGTATCTAACTGTATTTTGGAGCTGTGTCAGTTGTCAGTAAGGGCCTTAACCTGCTGCTGTGGGAAGCTGCTGAATTTTTTATCATTTTTATAAGTATAGCCCTAAAGATTGAGGGAAACTGGCATCTGTTCTTGTGGAAGTTCATTATTTGTGGGCTTACATACTAGTTTGATGGTTTCTTCAGACTGTCCTAGCCATGATTTACCCATCGTTACTCTTCCCTTTTTTCGTTTTTGTATTGAGCACATTTGAGACCCTCTCCCCCCCACCCACCATATCTTTCTCTGTTTTACCCTTATGTTGTCTAAACAAAGAGAAAGAATCATTGTTTTAGTTACTTATTGAAAAAGGACATCAACTTATACAGTAAATCTATATCCAGGGTAATGTCACTTGGAGGACATTATAAAAATTATAGAAATGTAAATGGTCAGTTACGAAATACTTCTTCTTCTTGATTCACCGGCTGTAAGCTATGGTGGAAAGTCCTGGCTGTTCGTCCATTTCGACATTGGATATGCCAGGGCCTGAGATTTGCGTTTACATCCATTTTACTGGCTTGTTTGTGTGCAGTTGATTGTTCTTTGCCACTCGGGCAGATGCATTCCAACTTTGAAGGAAGTCCTCAGTTAGTTTACTCCTACGCCATGCTCGCTGGTGAGGCATTGGGTCTATTCTTGTTTTACCTACAATGGGGCCTCACAACCCACATGGGGACAGGAAATACTAATTTATTTAACATCTTTTGAGTGCGAACTGGTAGCATGAATATTTAGAAATCAGATTTTGCATTTCTTATGATGATAGTTTTATTTTCCTCTCTGTATCTAATAGTGTACTTTAAAATAAATATAATTTTTTAAAATTTTAAAATGGCTTTTAATTTTATTCTGCTAATTTTCAGTTATGCAAGAAACATCATTTTGGCATGAGAAAATCTGAAAAAACAAATCAGTCAAATGATAATTCTCAGATGTCACTACGAGGTACTTGGAATTCTATAAAATCTGTTGCAGAGAATGTCAAATCGAAAAAGGTGAAGTACTGTAAATGTTTCCTGTATTTCTTTGTTTCATTTCTTATGTTTGTGTAAAATATTGTAGCATTGGGTTTTCTCTCTTAGAAGTAATTGGGATTAAATGGAAGATAACTACTATTATTTCATAGTTGCCATCTTCCTTGTCTTCAGAAGCATGAGAAATAAATAAGTATTGACAGAAACTTATAGAAAGTATTTTTTGGCAAAGTAATATACTCAAAATTTTAAAACTATAAATGGTGGTCCAAAGGATATTTTGTTGAGAAGCTCGCTCTCCTACGATATACGCCTGGCCAAATCAGAAGTAGCTGAAACCAAGGAGGAAACATCAGAAATGAAATGGCAAGAAAAACACAGTTGACGAAAGGATAAGGAAGAAGGGGTCTGACTAGGAGGAAAGAAGCATTAAGCCTAGAGATGGCGCAAATACCGGAATTTTAGCCATGAAAGTGGCGCAAATAAACAAGAACACAAATATAGCTGGAGACTGTTAGCAGCTTCGGCTAGCTAGCAGCAGGTTGAACGTTGTTGAGTTTCTGATTTTTTCTTAAAAGTAATTGTAATATAAAAGTTTGGATTTTCTTTTTCTTTACTTAAAGGCAGCTGGTATGATGATGACCATATCACCCGTCAAGTGCTTATTGGTCTGTAAAATATGTAGGTCTAAATGCGGATGATCATAGATTACACAGGCTGTAAAAAGAGATGTATGTACTCATTTTTAGGCCACATAGCTAATGCAAATTGAAATGTAAACAGCGAGAACCAAAACCTTAAAGTAATAGATTGGCAAAACAGCATAAACAGTAGATACTTACTTACACACAGCCCCTAGGAAGACTGTGTAGAGTAATCTTTCTAAACTATGCTGAAAGACACAGCAGGAAAAGCAGAGGATAGAAGAAGAGGTTGAGGCTCATCAATATCATAATTTAAGCTGACGTTGAATATAAAAAAAAAATGTTATTAAAATAAAGTTAGTTCTTTTTTAAAAATTTTCTCTGCAGAAGGAAACGAAGGACAAGGAAAAATTTGAAAAGAGGATCCTTGAGGTATGTGCATGCAGGTGTTACTGTTGTTTTAGTTTTATTTGGCAGTAATTAATGCAGTGTTAAAATAAGTAGAAGGCGCCTCTGCACACCAGTGGCATACTGAACAGTTGTTGATAGACCCTTATTATTGTAGGTGGATTAACACATTTAGGACCTGGAGCGATAATGTGCAGTACAAGACCTAATGTCTGTTAACCTCTCTTGCTGAAGCCTACCTCATTTTCATGTTGAAGACACTGTTCTCTCTAGTGGAAAGATGGGTCATCAAAGGAGGCAGAAGTGATAGGATGAGCCCACTATCTGAGCTAGAAGAGAAAAAAAACATAGTATGAAGCAACTGGCTATCTGGATAAGTAGGATAATTATACAGAATATGATACATTCGATCTTAGTGCTAGCCCTTTGGTACTCCACCAGGCAGGTGCAGTACTGGGTTCTGAGCCTAGACAGACCCCCCCCGCCCCCCCCCCCACTCCCCTCAGCATCTGGAGGACCTCTTAGGCTAGGGCTGTTCAACTGGTGAAGGCCTAGCAAGTGGCCTGCGGATCATTGCCAGTTGTACGGTATTAATTATCTTTCTATGCTGGGGCTGGGACCTCTGGCCATTGATGATCTTTATTCTCAAAATTATTGCCCCTGAGTAAACTTGCTTGAATAGTCTTGTCCTAGACCATCTTGTGGAGTCAGGGGATATTGGAGGGTAGGGACTGAATTAAGACAGAGATGATCTCAAAGTACACATGTATTTTGTCATAAAATGATGAAGTCAGTATTATGTTAGACACCTTTATTCCCTTGATAGTTCCTGGTATCCCTTTTGGGCTGGTCAACCCGGGAGCCTAGGTTTAAAAAATTAAAAAAACATTGAACCCCAAGAACTTTGAGCTGGCAAGAAAATGTCTGGCCACTTCGCTACCACATCTCCTCAGTATACTGTTGCAGGATATAAAAACAGAAATCCTAGTTTTTAAAAGTGAAATAGGTCTTTGTTGACATACTGGCTTGATGAAAGATGTGCCTAGCTTGTTACACATGTGAACCATGTGGCAACTTCATTTAATAATTATGTGGCTTGATTCAGTGTGCTTAAACAATGAATTGGTAAAATGGAACTTCAATGATTGCCTAGTTCTGAGTCCTTAATTTGGAGGAATTTCAATAAACAAGGAAATGAAGCTTGTCACATGCATTCATTTAATATTTTTTGATTAAGAGTAGGTCATATTTCATGGCTACAAAAACATTTTAAAAAAAAAAGGAGGTTCCGAAAAGATTTGGAATGAAGAGTTGTTAAACGAAGTAAAAATAAAGACCAGTTAAAAATTTGGGCCACATTGAAATAGTTTCACAGACTTCTTCATTTGGTCCATGAACATACTTTCTAATGGCCCTGGGGTTTGTTATTGGAGTTTCAGATTTGGGGCTTCGCACAATGCTCTCAGCAAGCATCTATCTGTTATGTGGAGAGAGACTGAATCATATAGGATAAAACCCAGTGCAGTGAAGTCAGACTTTAAACCTTTTGTTTTAAAAATAAACTTTATCAATAAATGTTTTCTTCTTCATAACATCAGTGTTCCTAAATAAATTTTCCAGGAGCTACTGAAGATGTACAACGACTCAGACTTCTTCTACTACAGTGATGATTTTGACCTCACTAATAGCCTGCAGCGTCAGAACAGTGCAACATATGACAAAACTTTGCCTTTGTGGAAAAGGACAGATGATCGCTTTTTCTGGAACAAACATATGTTGTTGGAGCTCATGGAGGCTGATGTGAGCATATTTCTGGTATTCGTAGCATATTTATGTCCAGTAAAGTAAACAGATTTAAGAGAAGTTAGAATCGCTGTGTCAGATTCTTCTTTGTCTCGACTATTCTTCATTAGTCTGAAATATTTTAAGTATTTGTTGACTTTTGTCTTTTTATCAGTTATATGGTAGTTTTCTAACTTGAGAAGTTCCTTCCTAGTCCAGCTCCTAACCAAGGCCAAAGACTTGGTCTTCTTTGCCACAACGTAGGTTGGGCAGTCAGGGTTGGTATACACTTCAAAACATTTGGCATGTAACACAGAACATGTGGTACAAGACTACAGTTGTACAATATTTAAGCCATATTAGATCAAGACCTGACATATATTTATTCAAATCTTTTTTTTTTTCTTTTTATGTTTATGTTTCTACACTTTTTATAATTCATGCTGTGTGGGATTGGTAGTCTTGTCTATCCACAGCCTTCTGTCTGTGTACTATCACTAATTTCCGATCCCTGTATGGGTCCTGGGGTCCCATTTTTGGGGAAAAAAAAAGAATAGACCCACTGCCACCTTAACAAGAATATCGTAAAAGTTGACTAATTAGGGACAAACAACTAGAACTTTCTGCCAGAGTTTACATCCAGTGGAAGTGAAGAAGGAGAATAATAATAATTTCTGACACAGATAATCTTCCATGCCAGGATATCAGACTGTCCAGCATCTTCTCCCTTTGTCTCCCTCTGCTTGCTTTCCCCTCTAGCTTTCTCACCATCACACATACTCCAGTGTTCTCCTTCGGATGATATGACCAATGAATGTAGATTGTCTCCTTCTAATGCAGGAATCAGTTCTGTTTTTGAGTTAATATCTTTCTAAAACCTTCATTACTCTTGTTATCTGTCCACAGTGTTCTCATCCTACATCTATACATCATACATCACATCTCTGCAGTTTCTCAAAATTTTTTCACTAAACCGCTGTCAGTGATTTAATTCCTTAAATCAGGATTGGCTCTCTATAGCCTTTAAGTCTTTCAATACCAAGCAGTTCACCATGCCTTCTTTGGTAAGACCGAGGACAGTCTACTTTTCTGATTCCCTTCTCTCACAGATGGTTGTAATTTTATTAACTCCTGCTAACCTGCTTCTTAATTTTCTTCCTTTTGCCCCATAGTGTTATTATTTTAACTTCATATTATTCATGCAAGGGCTGCTTTACCCTAGGATTTCTCGAGGTAGAAAGAGCTAAAATAATTACTGACTAGTACTCAGAGAGTTAAGAATTCTTTTCCTCACCTCAATTGACAAAGAAAGAAATATTATAGTTAGTTGCATATCCTTTACCAGACGCTGCATTATTTGGCTGTTGTTATTTCTTTTTTTTCTAGGCAAATTTACGTTCAATAGTTTGTTATTTCTTTCTGAAGGGTCAGCTCTCGGTACCGCTGTCGAAACCAACCCAAGACAAACCGTCCACAGCTGGGATGGAACCCGGCACCTTGGCATTACAAAGCATGTTCGCAATGCATAAGCCACAGACACCAACTATATTCTAGTAGATGACTAAAAAATTGATTACCTTCTTTTATTAGGATCCCTTAAGTGAGCACTGGATGATGCCTGTTATTCAAGGCTATGTCCAGATGGAGACCTGCCTCATGGATTTTGATGAGGACAGGATGTCCAGTCAGTCTGATATGTCTTCATCGGTGGACTATTCTAGTCAGAAACTGGAGCCTCTCAGCTATAAAATCAGCATCATCTCACGCAGAAGTAGGCACAGGGCAGGTCAGTTGTTGCATTGTATTTTTCTCACCAGCTGTCTTTTGCTTATTGTTCTCCTGGGTGTATTCAAGAAACGGATTTGCAAATATCAGTATCCTTCCAACAATATATGCTTAACCCCATGAATGCTAAAATGCATGAATGCCTGAAACTTTATTAGAGTTACCTAGCATCCTATGATTTTCTGGTGATGAAAAAAGGAGAGAGACTGCAAGCGAGCTTGTACTAAGAAGTAAATTATCTGAACGGAGATAAGAAGCCTCAACAAATGGGAAAGTAAAAGACATGCCCTAAAACTGTTGAACACTGTGACCAGTCTTTATCAGTGAGAGCCTACAAGAAGTAGACTTTGGTCAAAATATTTGATTTTTTTCTGTACATGTTTTTTCTTCTCCCCTCATTAAGCTGCCTAGTTTGTCTTAATTGAGTTTATCTAAATCAGCGGTTCTCAGCCTGCCGATTGCGACCCTTTTTTTGTGTGGGTCAAAAGACCCTTTCACAGGGGTCGCCTAAGACCATTGGAAAACATACATTTATAGAAGTTATGAAGGAAAATAATTGTTTGGGGGTCGCCACAACACGCAGAAACTGTATTAAAGGGTCGCAGCATTAAGAAGGTTAAGAGCCACTGATCTAAATGCTTCTCTGCCACTTTTTAACCTATACAGCTGTGAGAGTTTTGACCTATTCTATTCCAGTGTTTTAGTCAGTTCCCTTTGTCCCAGTATTTGAATCTCTTCAGATCCACATACTTATTTCATTAAGCAACTGCTGCTTAGTAAAGTAAAGGACCCTTTTCCACGGCTTCAGGCGTATTGGGCATAAAGGGCTAGACCTATATTTTATAGACCATTCAGCACTTGATGGGTGATATGATCAGCATCACACCTGCTGCTTTAACTTTCCAGAACTGCACGTGGTACCTACTCAAGGCTGGTTCCACCTGTGAGCCAAGGGGTCATTTTTTAAGAAAGCCTGGTTCTGTTAGGACCCAAACTCACAACCTTCTGATCTGCAGGCAAGCGCCGTGTAGCTACACCACAACTGCTGCTTAGGAAATTAGGAATTAAAGAAACTCACACCTGGGACTGAAAAGTTAATGCTAGAAAAGTCATAATGTGCTAAACATACTATTGATACAGATTAATCTCTTGTTCTTCTTCAGCATTCTGAGCCCTTGGGGTTCATTGCTGCAGATCCCTTAATTCTTCTCTATTGTTGGCTTTCGCTTTGCATTTTTTTACTGCAAATGTTTGTAGGTCTGTTTGTATATTATCTCTCTACTGTCTCCTTGGTCTGTCATGTGGTCTACTCCCATTCAACTCTTTTGTATACATAGATTCTCTCTTGCTGTTTTCTGATGTTCTTTCTGTAGGCCCCATCTATTGCCATCTGTTAGCCCTGACACACACCAGTGTCCTAGAATACTTCTGTACGAAAGAAAAGTTACAAGCAAGAACAAATCTTGCCATTTAAGATAAATAATGTAATTAAAAAAAAAATGGGTAATACTGATTTTATTATTGTTGTATCCTTGCAGGAACTAGATCAAGAACAAGGGGGATCAACTCTGATGGAGCTTGTGCAAATTATGTTGAAACTGAGCAGGTAATAATTTCTTTTTTTCATTAGAAAAAATGCTGCATGTGTTGTTTAGATCAGAAACAGATACATTGAACACACTGTCTTATAATTATTAAGAATTTCTCATTCATATCCATATTTTTGGATTTAAAAAAAAAAGGAAACATCATCATCATTGTCACATTCTTCTTTATCTTCAATCACCTTTAAAGGGTGTTTGGCAAGTTGTGTTGTTATCTGCAGCTAGGATGTGATATCTGCACCTTTCTGCTCAAAACATCCATTTTAATAAACCTCTTATTAGTAAGTTTTATGACATAAATGTTGGGAAAATGGGGTTGGGGGGGGGGGGGGGGGGGGGGGGTCCTGATCTTCTTTTCTTAAAAAAGAGCCCTGGAACCCAAACATGACTGTGCTTATTAAATGGCGGTGTTAATGAGCCTTTAATGGGTCTGCATTCATGTAGACTTTCTTCTAGTCAGTCTCATGGTGTTGTCCTCCCATTTGAGTTCTGGGGCCCCATTTTTGGGGAAATGAGAATACACCGACTGTCCCCCTAAATAGTGAGTCGTAAAAGGGGGCTAATTGGGGTTGTGTGCTTCGAAGTGGGAGTGCAAAGAACCAACAGTCTGCTTACAAATAAGCTAGATCTGTAAGAGAGAGAGAGAGAGAGAGAGAGACAGACAGACACACACACACACACACACACACACACACACACACACACACACACACACACACACACACACACACACACACACACACACACACACACACACACACACACACACACACACACACACACACACACACACACACACACACACACACACACACACACACACCACACACACACACACACACACACACACACACACACACACACACACACACACACACACACACACACACACACACACACACACACACACACACACACACACACACACACACACACACACACACACACACACACACACACACACACACACACACACACACACACACACACACACACACACACACACACACACACACACACACACACACACACACACACACACACACACACACACACACACACACACACACACACACACACACACACACACACACACACACACACACACACACACACACACACACACACACACACACACACACACACACACACACACACACACACACACACACACACACACACACACACACACACACACACACACACACACACACACACACACACACACACACACACACACACACACACACACACACACACACACACACACACACACACACACACACACACACACACACACACACACACACACACACACACACACACACACACACACACACACACACACCACACACACACACACACACACACACACACACACACACACACACACACACACACACACACACACACACACACACACACACACACACACACACACACACACACACACACACACACACACACACACACACACACACACACACACACACACACACACACACACACACACACACACACACACACACACACACACACACACACACACACACACACACACACACACACACACACACACACACACACACACACACACACACACACACACACACACACACACACACACACACACACACACACACACACACACACACACACACACACACACACACACACACACACACACACACACACACACACACACACACACACACACACACACACACACACACACACACACACACACACACACACACACACACACACACACACACACACACACACACACACAACACACACACACACACACACACACACACACACACACACACACACACACACACACACACACACACACACACACACACACACACACACGCACACGAGATTTGCATGCAGAACTCATGTTCTGGAACAAGACCAAAGTACAGAAGTGGATAAACAACCAGAACTTTCTGTTAGAGTTTACAGCCAGTAAATATAAGAAGAATATGATATTATCCACCCACATTTAATGCTCTCTATCCTTTGGAAATTTTCTCCAGTTTTTGCTCAAACATGTTCTTTTATAAGAATAGTCAGCTGGACAAAACATAAACACCTTTAATACATTTACAAGTTTTGACGTTAATGATGATTTTATTTTCAGATCATTGAATTTGTTCCCCATTTGGTCTCATTCGTGCAAGTTCGAGGATCTATCCCCGTCTTTTGGAGTCAGTCAGGATTAAAATATCGGCCACCACCTCAGCTCAATAAAGGTAGGTCAGTCAGTTGTGTTATTGTTTGGAAAGTTCGATCAATGTCTGAGCTACACATTTTTAATACAATTTCATGTCTCATAATTTTAGACACTTTTTACTCTGTGCCAAACATATCTTTATTCTGCTGCTGCATACATGCCATTGTGTTGTAGTTTGCTAATCTAGTTGTACTTTAAAAGTTCTCTATTTCTTTCATTATGTTTCATTTATCACACATTTTTTTCAAATGCCCTTTTAGGGTTCAGAAATGACCTTGACTCCCAGGTTAACCCAGCCTTAAATTGAACACCAGATAAAATCCTGGGAAATAAAAGTGCGTGGCATGATTTTACCAGATGCCCACTGAGTGCCAATTGGTCTATAAAATATAGGTCTAATACTATATGCCCTGTACATCTAAGTTTTACTTTGTATCTGGGGATGTCCTTGGTAAAGTTGTTGAGTGTTCACCTTATGCCTTCAGGGTCACAGGGTTGTTTCTGGTCTGCATCGTTTAAATCATGAGGGACATTTTGTGAGAGATTCTTGCATATTGATGGAGCCGTGGAGATTATTTGTGTGAAGCTTTCATTTGGCAGAGGCGAGTGAGATTAAACTTTGATGTTTTGAAGTTGAGCTCTCAGTTAAATAATTTTTTTTTGGGTTATATCTTCTTCTCCTCCTGCTCCTCTGCCCCCTCCTTCTTTCCCCTAGTCCTGTTCTGCCTTTCAGTGTCACGTTTTGAAGAGGCATTGCTGCAGTATTTGTATACGACACATATGATGGTTTCAAAGTGGAAATGGAAATGGCTACAGCCACTATTGACCTAGAAGATGTGTACAACAGGGTCCCTTACAATATTCTCAACAGATTGTTGTTGGATATGCACATTGAGACAAGATGGGTCAGCTGGATCCTAGCCATGTTATTTGAAAAGACAGTGTTGTTGCAATGTGGTGCATGGGCAATGCAACCTCGGTGTGTCATAATAAGCCTGCCTCAGAGATTACCAGTGTTGTCTGTTATGTTTAATATGTATACTCTAGAGGTCACCAGTGTACAGAGCATAGGCCTGGGCAGAGCAGTGTTGTATGCAGGTATTATTGATTCAGCCAAAGTGCTCGAGAAAAGAAAAATTAAAAACAGCAAAGTTGTTTTCTTTTGTGACTGCATGTCAGTCCTCCAGGCGACTCATAGGGATCTACAAGACAACATGGAGAGAGAACTGACCCGTCAGCTAAACAGACTTACAGAAAACAATCAAATCGTTCTCCAGTGGATCCCGGTTCCTCGGCATATTGCAAAAAATGGATCAAAGGAGAAACAACACGCCCATTCATTGTCATTACCAGAAATCAGAACACTTATCAAAGGAAAATACAAAGGATTGTGGAGAGAACAAACTAACAGTAAAAATCCACAAGACCCTATCAGCAGACTCAACAGAAAGCAACATACAACAATTTTCTGTCTACAAACAGGACACTGCAGGCTCAACTACCACATGCATAAAATAAAGATTGTACAGTCCCCACAGTGTGCCTGTCAAACAGGACCACAAACACCTCAGCATATTCTGCAGACCTGCCCACTCTACCTGCAACTTCAAAAGGACACCTGGCCTCAAGAGCAAAGTATGCAGAGCAAGCTATGGGGAACAATGCAAGACCTGCAGCTGACATGCAAGTTCATAAAGGCAACAAATCTGATGGTCTGATCTGAGCATACTAAACCGAACGCAAAGAAGAAGAAGAATGCAGGTGATATCCTTACATATCATTGAGGAAGAAACAGGCGCGAACAAACAACATTGGGAGGACGTGGACCACATGGAGATACATGGAGTAATGCTGCCATTTTTGCTTATGATGTCCATGAGGCATGCAGGAGTGGCAACATGTGCTCCTCCCCCCCCCCTCCCCCCCTATTAAATGGATAGCAGCATCACTCTTCAAGAGACATGTTGTTTTCAAATGTGGAAGATTAATCAGAGATAAAACCATACACACCGGATTGCCACAGCAATCATCTTTATCATCAGTCCTCTTCAATATTTTCACTATTGAGGTGACAAAATATCGAATCACGGGTGAAGAAAGAACACTCTCATATGCTGATGACATAGTAGTATATCACCAAGGAAGAACAGGTGTAGAATTGTAGAACTCCAGAAGCAAATAGGACTCATAGCAACAACTCATCAACAACAAGAGAGGCATACCTCTGTTTAGTCCACAACAGAGGTTGGCAAGATGGGCAGAGTATTTTCAAGAACTTCTTAACTCCACAAGAAACGTAGATAATTTTAACTTTGTACCTCGAAGCTGCGAACAAGAGGAACCAAATTTCGTAGCAGCGGAAGTAAACGCAGTTATACAGAACAGCCCCAGAAACAAAGCACCAGGTCTGGATGGAATTGATACAGAAGGGACCCAAGCATGCGGAGAAGTGGGCGTTAAACGGCTTACTAGAATTTTTAATATAGCTTGGGAAGAAAGAAAAGTCCCAGCTGAGTGGAAACAGGCACTAAAAGTACCCTTATGGAAAAAAGAAAGGTAATAGGAGAGAATGTGAACCATACAGACGTATATCACTACTGATTCACGTAGGAAAAATGTACACCAATTACTAGAACAGAGAGTTAGACCCATAGCTGAACAACAGTTGAGTGCATCACAATTCGGTTTCAGAAAAGGCTGAGGATGCACAGATGCATTATTAACTCTGAGGCAAGTGTGTGAGAAAGCCATTGAGTACAA